TAACAGTTCTCGTGCGATCACGGAAGTTAAGCAACGTCGAGCCTGATCAATACCTAGATGGATGACACTTGGGAATACCAGGTGCTGTAAACTTGGATGTGCGAGTGTTGTAATTGAAGACAGCTCGGAATTGGAAATCGGCGATCCCAGTTCCAATTCCAGTGATGCTCTCTTTCTATATATGTGTGTCTTCGGAAGTTGTATCGCCCGAGGAGACACATTTGTGGTGTTGAAACATGGCTGTAATCGTGTAGCGATTTCTAACAGGTTTTTAATTTTATATCCTAAATTATATATATATATATATAGATAATTAAGGGATTCATCAGCACTGAAAACACACACACACACACACACACACACACACACACACACACACACACATATATATATATATATATATATATATATATATATATAATTATCACATACTGGTAGCACGAATCGGATTTTCACACATATAGACTGACCGTTTCTTAATTCATAATTTTATAAAAAAATATGTGGCTAACGCAGTGCTGGTGCAGTTTATATATTATACGAGGATTACGGTTGTTTTTTTTTATTTAAAAAATAAATATTGCATTAAAAATAGACGTGATTTATGTTGTAAGCATTATGGGGGATTATTTGGTTTACATCTAGCACTATTTTAATAAAACCAGCACTCAATATGCGATATCATTTATTCATATATGCAGTGGGTCGCATAAGTATAAGCATCAAATAAATGCATGTACTTTTATTACAATATGAAGAAATCTGATATATGCTAGGAAATAAAAGAAATATTAATACAAATCTATTAACTGAATATAGAAGAAATTATTTATCAAATATGAATTTTGAGGGTTATATCTATCTGAAGTTTACAGATTTTTTAATAATGTTATGGTTCAGGTTAGGACCAAGGAAGAACAACACGAACACAAGAGTAAAAATAACGAATATTACACGAAATAATAATACAAGATGTGGAAGGTGTTAGTATGACTGTCAGTCTGATTTGGAGTGAACTACTATCGGCTCGAGTCGATTCGGTATCTAGCCATCCCCCATGAGGGTTGCATGTGGCACAAGGCCGAGTTTAACGTGGGTTTCCCGAGCCCGTAGGCTCAGCCAAAAAATGCCCGTAGAACCCGTATAAACGGGATCGGTTTGGTCAACCTCCCCGAACGAGACTCTGCCTTTCGGCGGAGCCTCGTCCGGATTCCTCTCTGCTCAGAGGCAGAGAGTTCGACCGTCAAGCCAAGCTTGTCGGCTTGATTCGACCCTCTCTCTTGAGAGGCGCAGTATACATAGTGTTAGGAAGAGTTCATTTTGTAGTTATAGGTAAGAACCCATGACAAATAATAATTAACCTAATTATTATTGAATTTGCATATATGCAAATGTTTAACTTTTTGATGTTTTCCTAGATTATTGTGTGATGACATATAAGATAATTTCGCATGTGTCTTCTTCAGCTATTCGTCATTCAGTGACGTAGAGCCAACATAAAAACTCTGCCAAAGATAAAGGAATATACTATGGGAGTCTAGAATTGTATCGTGGAAAAAGATAAGAAAAGAAAAAATTGGAAATAGAAAAAAAAGAAAAAAATAAAACACCGTAAATCAAGTAAAAACGGTGATCGAATAAAGGTTCTGAAACGGAAATCTGTTCGCATCGTCAAAGAGTAACTACTAATTACTCGCTAGCTGCTGCTTGATAATTTGGGCAGATTGTAACACGCTAGAAAATGCATAGCACCAGGGAAGGTGTTATTTTGGAGTTATTTTTTTGTGTCCAAATCCGTGAATTTGTTTTGTTCATGCTAAGTCTCGAAAAAACACAATTATATCCATAATGTTAAATGTATGAAAATTCAGCGTTTTAACAAAAGACAATCTCAATTGGATGATAAAAACTGCCGCCAAACATTGTAGAATTTTTTAAAATGTAATTATCTGTTATGACATGTCTCTAATTTATATTTTGATACATTGTATTTATTTTCAATTCTTCTAGTTGAATTGTTTACCTGTATGGCATATGATCCATTATTGTACATAATTAGATTGCAATAACATTTTTATTTTATCCGAATACTACTTTATGAAAATTGAGATATAGTAGAGATTGGGCGGGCCTCGTATCATAGATTCCGGGGGTGGGGAGGTACAAGACCCTTGTTCAGGAAGGCATAACACTTTGTAACAATTACGAAAATTCCAATTTTAATGGCATTTTAATTAATAAAGAAAAGACACGCATTATGTTTTGTAATTTTGTGCATCTGAATAAAGAGTATGCCTATTTCAACAAAAGTTTTTGTCCAGATGTAGCAAAACGCGACAAATTTATATTCTTTATATAATTGTGTTGTGTTGTGGAAATTGAACAACTTTTATGATCTATGGAACATCATAAGAGTCCTATGCTTTGTGTATGTTTCACATCTACAGTTACAGTGGATAGTCACATTATCGAACGAACTATATACGCGGCCAAGTATCGTGCAATTCTGGAAGAAAATTTAACATGATTCCAAACACACAACACAAGTAGACTAAATCTTGAAGTGTAATTATAAGGTTTCCATTGCTAGTAGTGTAAAATAGCACAACGTGTATAATATGTATTAGTTGACTTTATTGTCCTTCAGACGGAAATTTTATTGAGTCATTGTCAGTGAAGAGAACAAGAAGAAAAGAATGCGAGAGACTTCAAATTCTAATGCTTACTACTCTCTAGCAGTTTCGGGTCGCGTGTGTTCGCCAAGAGGAATACATTCTCATGGAAAGATTTTGGAAGGAGAAATTGTTTATTTGCAAGAAAATGTCCTTTAACTGTAGTTTTAATTAATTCACATTAGAACGATAAAAGGATCACAGACATGTCACATCTTTTTTTTTCTTTTTGCGGTAGCCACACCGATGCCAATTCCATAGGATTTGTGACTCTGAACTAAAACTATCAAACATACCGGATTTCAAATATATAACTCTAAAAACACTAATTTGCTTTGTAATGAAATTTAGGATTTCTCGGTTTTATGTGCCTTGATTTTGAAAAAAAATTCCTCAGTGGATTACCACAATATAACAACACCATTGTTAGGTTGGCACTATTCTCTGTACCGTACCTTTATTTTTTATTTCAGATTCTACAGTTTTTGAGGGAACCCCGCTTTTGAAAGAAAATAGCCCATCCAGATATTTTTTGGAGAAAATAAAGAATGATGATATACATTAAACATACCTTGAGTATATACACAAGAGAAAACCATAATAATATTACATGATTTATTGACATAATGAATTATTTGGCCACATGAGCGCCATTTCAACGGATAACTTCAAAACCCCTATTAGTCCTGAAATCTGTCACAATTTTTTCCATTGATACCAGCCTACATCATGATTCCTCCACCCTGTTGATGATGTTGTAAACGTTGGTGATTCTCATCTCCGAAATAGACTAAACCATTTTCCCAACCGTCAGTGAACAGGACACAACTCACGTCCAACGTCATATACTTCCGAGTACTTTGAAGCCTCAAATTCCTGTGACGAGGCTTTAAAGGGGATAGTTTCAAGGGATCTCGCATGGAAGCCATGATCCCGAGGTTGGGATTTCTGGTGGTTTTCACTACATGAGGAAGTCCAGAGGTGGTGAAAATGGCATTACATGTTTGTCCAAGTTTCACACGTGACTTTCGGATAATATTCCTTAAATCCGTAGCTGTCATAGTCTTGGAGGTCCCACAATAGGATCTTTTCTTCCTTGGCGAAGAATACCTCAAGAATCGTCTAACCATGTCCACATAACTACCTAACTTCTCCGAAATAACCCGAAGTTGCCTTTAACATTTTCCTTGATGATGACAGACTTTTCTCCTTCGGTGCGGCCATTTTCATGTCATATTTTTCTTAGAGAGGAGAGACGTTATTAGCGTGGTTCACCTCAAAACTGTCGCATCTAAAATAAAAAAAATAAATGACGTTACACAGAATAATGAAAACCTAACAATGGTGTTGCCATATGTTGTTAACCAACTGAGGAATGTTTTATCAAAATCAATTCGCAGAAAACCGAGAAATCCTAAATTTAACTACCAAGCTATTAGCGTGGTTTGGGGTGTATATCTAACTCTATATAGTTTATTCGTTAGGAAACCTTTCTACTTTCTTTCTTTAATACTTAACCGTATAGTTTACACACAATATTATATTATTAATAATCTTGAGTGGCCATGCTAATCACTGGTTTTGATACAAATAATAAAATAATATGGAGGAAACTGGAGAATCAAGTTGTGAAGCGTCAACAGACTGAACTTGCTGAAGTTTATCCCTTTGAAACCTGCGTTCCTGAACAATTCTAACCCTTCTGCCTGAGCTCCTGAGTCAAAATTCGCAAATAATTGGCATGTAATGTTTCACGGTAGATATAAAAATAGTTACAAGTGTTTACACACTGCTCCATCGGCTGTTAATTAAGTCATTTTTTCTCTACCACTGTTCAACCGATGGCTGGGCTTTACGTCATTTTTCTCTATTAACGGTGATCAGTGCTCAAAGGGTTATGACATGTGCCCTGGATAATGGTAAAAGAAAGCATCAACAAATCGTTGACTGAATTTGTTTTTTTTTTAAAAAAAAAAAGCAAACTTTTTTTTCATTACATGCTCACCCAATACAAGGATCAAGAACCGTTCAAAGTCGTGTATAAATATATAAGACTGTTTATGGCTGTATGAAGATGAAGTAGAGATTATGGGAATATGTAGGATAGATAACAGTTGACACTAGACTTGAAGAGATTAAAATTGTAGCAATCGGAGAAACATCCTCTCGCAAAGAAACTGAATATAACTTCATATCAATCGAATATTTAGAAAATGAAGATGATTTGACCATATTTATGTGGCATGTTTGATCTTAGCTGCGAAAGTCTAAATTGGTAGAAACACAAAAATATAGCTTTTCTGGACATTTAACATGGAAATAGGAATACAGTAGCGAAAGACTGGCAACATTTCGTTTTAGAGAAAAGGCCTGTAGAGTTGAAATTAAATGCGTACGAGAGTCTCTTGACTAACAAAG